ATGTTCAGGAAGCAGTCTCCTGTACCAATTAATTCAAGGCTATTTCCCACTTTATCTTCTAATAGGTTTAGTGTGGCTGGGTTTATGTTGAGTGAGGTCTTTGATCCATTTTGACTTAAGTTTTGTGCAGGACAAAAGTCTTGAGTCTATCTGTAGTCTTCTACATGTCCGCATCCGGTTATGCCAGCACTGTTTGTTCAAGATGTTCTCTTTGTTCCATCGTATAAATTTGGATTGTTTTTCAAAAATCAGGTGTTCGTAGGTGTGTGGGTTAATATCAGGGTTTTCAACTCTATTCCATTGGTCTACCTGTCTATTTTTGTGCCAATACCAAGCTGTTTTCAGGACTATAGCTCTGGAATAGAGCTTAAAGTCAGGGATGGTGATGCCTCCAGAAGTTCCTCTATTGTACCGGATTGTTTTGGCTATCCTGGGTCTTTTGTTTCTCCATATAAAGTTGAGAATTGTTCTTTCAAGGTCTATGAAGAATTGTGTTGGGATTTTGATGGGGATTGCATTGAATCTGTAGATTGCTTTTGGCAAGATTGCCATTTTTACTGTGTTGATCCTACCTACCCAAGAACATGGGAGATCTTTCCATTTTCTGATATCTTCTTTAATTTCTTTCTTTAGAGAGTCAAAATTCTTATGGTATAGGTCTTTCACTTTTTTGGTTAGTGTTACCCAAGGTAATTTTATGTTGTTTGTGGCAATTGTAAAGGGTGATGTTTCTCTGATTTCTTTCTCCACCAATGTAGCCTCTCACCTGTTTCTTGACTCAGAGTAAAAACAGTGCTGTGACTGTGTTTCTTGATTTATACTAGGGTTTTAAAAATTTATTTATTTATTATTATTATGTATATGGGTATTTTGCCCGCATATGTGTATGATCACCACAGAGACTAGAAGAGGGCATTAGATCCTCTGTAACTGGAGTTGCAGATGTTTGTGAGCCACCATGTGTGTGCTGGAGCTCAAACTTAAGTCCCCTGCATGAGCAGTAAATGCTCTTAATTGGAGTCATCTCTCCAGCCCGTTTTGTATTTCTGAGTTTGTCAGACCAAACTAAATCTTCTAAAAATGGATCTTGTTATTGATACAGTTTTCTTTTTTATAGTTCTAACTCTGTTTTTCATCTTTTTTTTTTACAAGTTAAAATATTTGATGCTAGATTGTGTGTGAACATGCTGGTAAAAACTGGCCTACTTCAGAGATTTTTGAAGCATGATATTAAGAACAAGCACTGTTTTCTATGTTAGTGTGTGTGTGTGTGTGTGTGTGTGTGTGTGTGTGTGTGTGTGTGTGTTTATAAGGACTCTTCAGCCTTACCACCAAGTGTGTGTACCTCAGACTGTATTTGAAATGAATCTACAAATTCACCATTATTTGATTATTCCCACTAAAACCTAGTACTTTTCCTGACAGAGGGATACACTGAAGCATTCAAGTGTCTGGAGGAAACATAATTTTCATTCCTTGGATGGGACGTCAACCAGAGCCTTTCACCCTCAGACAGGGCTGCCTCTCCTTTCAAGTCCTGTAAGTTCCCTGAGTTCCCTTGTGCACAGCACCTACAGGCAGCTAGATGGCATGCTAGAAAGCACTTCAGCTAATGTTAAGCGAAACATTTCAAAGCCTGTGAAATCAATTTTCAGTTAGAAAACCTTGTGGGTTTTGATAGTACATTTAACAGCATATGATAATATGGGAAAGGACTATAAATTGAGCAAAAATAAAATATATTTCACTGGTATTAAAATTTTTCCTAAGTTCTTTGGCTGAACATTTTAATTGTTACTAAGTGTAAAAAAAATAAAAGGATTTAAAAAATACCTTAATGTTGATGGAATTTCATACAAATAGTTTTCTTCTCTTAATCTCAGTAAATATTGGCACCAGCAGCAGTATTATCTAGAAACTAGTACAAGTAGTCCCATAGTTTCAAGTGCAGTGGAAGGCTTGGGATGTTCAGAGACAACAGATCCATGCAGGAGGCCCTGGGTTCTGTCCCAGCACCAAATCAGAGCTATCCTGGGCTATAAAGTGAGACTTGTCTCCAAAAAGCAGGGGTATGTTTGAAAGAAGACATCTGGATATGAAATTATTCTCCTTGAAGTGTTCACACATACAAACATGCATGTATAAACCCATGCACCCATGCATGTGCGCGCGCGCACACACACACACACACACACACACACACACACACACACACACACACACACACTCCATATGGATAAACTAGTAGAGTGGAATCAGCTGAATGGAAGTTTAGTAGGTATGTAGAAGATATTTAGAAAGAACCTATCTTGACCGACAGAAAGGAAAGGAAATGGTAACCCTGAAAGGGCCGTAGATGACAAAGTGACACGCTCAGTGTGTCTGGCAAACGTCCAACCACAGACCAGGCAGAGCATGGAGAATGAAGTGAAGGAGGACAGAGCTTTTTTGAAGCGTGAGTTACACTGAGAATTGTACAGACAAGTCCTTATTTATTTGTTTTTGTTGGTTTGTTTCCTATGGTCTGGTTCTGGGACACAATTGAGTCAGAGACTTTTGCTGTGGTATTAAAGGGTTGAACCCATTTGAACAAGCACATGTTTGTTTGAGTTGGGGGTGGTTAGCGACTTTACTTTAAGGCAGGGTCTCCCAGAGTTGTCCATTCTGGCTCTGAGTGTTCTGTCCTCTTGCTTCAGCAACCTATGCAGTTTCCTGGGTTGCCAGGAAACTTCTAGCCGTAATTTCATGTGTTTCTTCTCAGATCAGTGCATCACAGATTTTTATACATATTTCATATTAATTCCAAAAACAAATCTAATTCTCATGCTGTATGTGACTACCTTTAATTTGCACTTAGAGCTTTCATTTTTAATGTATTTTGAGATAAGTGGCTTGTGAGAAATGTAATCTAGTGTGTGCTGGTGATTGAAAATTCAGAGCACTGTTTTTTATAGCCATTCTCTGTAAAGCATTACATTTCTTGGGAATGTTACAGTGGATAGGATGCCATCACTCTTCCTTTTAATTTAAGATCTAAGTGTTACAGACACACATCCCCCCCAAAGAACACAGATAAGTTTACAAATAAAAGTCCTGAGATAAAGAGGTGCTTCGGTAGGTACAGTGCTCACCTCATAAGCCTGAGGACCTGAGTTCATATCCTCAGTGCCAAACACAAAAGCGAGCACTACAGCCCATGTGTGTAGTGTCTATAGACCCAGTGATGGGGAGGCAGAGACGGAGGAGCTCTGGCACTTGCTTAACAGCCAGTCTAGGAGAATCAACAGCCCCATGTTCAATGAAACCCTGACTCAGAAAGTGAGGTAAAGAATGACTAAAGAAGATACCTGACATTGACCTCTGACCTCCACACATGTACACACCTGTAAACATATACTTGTACACACACACACACACAAACACACACAAACACACACACAGAGAGAGAGAGAGAGAGAGAGAGAGAGAGAGAGAGAGAGAGAGAGAGAGAGAATCCTTTGTACAGGGATACCATGTAAACTTTAGTTTTGGGAAAAGCCTAGTTCCACTTAATGTAGTCCAAGTGCTTTTATGAGTATCTGGCTTTTTTCCCCTCTGAGCTCTACATTCGTACACATACAAAACAAAAAATATCACTTAAAACAATATACTTAACTTAAATTTTTTAGTGTTTTATTAATTTAAAACATAGCCCTTTAAAATATACAAATAATCATTTTGCCCTTAGGTTCCTCAAAGAAAAACACAATCAGGTTGCTTTGATCTGGACACATCACTGCTGCATCTGAGAAGCCTGTCCTCCAGAAGGTAATCACTCCGAGTATGTGTGTGTGCGTGTGTGTGTGTGCCAGTGAAACAGAATGGCGTAGCAGACATGCTAAGTCAGAAGTGTAGTAAGAAAAAAAAATATCCTGAAGAGACAGCATGATGGTTGAGAACACTGGCTGCTCTTGTAGAGACCCTGGTTCGATTCCCAGCACCCACATGGTGGCTTGCAACCATCTGCAACAGGATGGAATCTGACCTTCTTCTGGCCTCCATGGACACCAGGAACACATGGTGCACAGACATACATGCAGACAAAACACCCCGAGTGTAAATTTTATAAAAATTATTTTTTTTAATTAAAGAAAAAGGAAGTCTTATTTTCATAATGATGTTGCACACACACTTTAGGAAAGTAAAGAGTGAGACAGTGAGCCTCAATGTGTGCTTGTCACCATAATCAGAAACACATTGGTTTGAGGTTTTGTGTAGGTTTATTCATTTTTGATCCTTAACCTCTGGCTTCTAGCCCATATTGCCTCCCTCTTTTCTTCCTTCCTTCTTGGTCAGTGCTGAGATTTGGTGTAGGGCTTCATATGTAGTAGTTAAGCATTCTCCCACTGGGCTACACCTCCAGCCCTGTTATTACAGTTACAGAAATTTGCCTTTGAATACTTCTTTTCAGCTGAAAGTGAGATGGATGTAAAATTCTGAATATAATGCATTTCTGGTAGCTTCCACTATGTGATGTATTATAAATTATACCTTGAAACCTTTCAGTGAATTATGTATATACGTATGTATTCTTTACCAAATATTAGCAATATAATATTTAATCTGAAATTTCAACTACACATTTTGCATTTTAAAATTTGATAGCAATTTTATTATAGTAGTTTGAATGAACTTCTAATTATAATCAGCATCTAAATTATTTTGCAGATGTAAATAAGAAAATATTGCAGTTAATGTCTTTTTCTCTTTTTTTTTCTTTTTTTTAAATAGTTCTCGACCATGTCTGAATATTGAAGAGGACCCAGATGCTCATGAAAAGCCCTTTTTGAGTTCGAGTGCTCCCCCGATCACAAGTCTTAGTCTCCTAGGAAATTTTGAGGTAATGTTATTTTGAAACTATTTTAGGAGTTGAAGTGCCTCAGAATAGGACTAGGATATCAGTATGTCTTTAATATTCTTTCTGAGAAAGAAATAAATGATTAGACTTTTTTCAAAAGCCTTGAAATGACCCCTCAGTGCTCCTTCTCAAGGGTTATTCCCCACACACCATAATGTCCCCATAGATAATGTCACTTAAGCTTGTGTGAGGGGCTTGAGAACACCTGAAAACCTGCCCACTCAGAGTTGGTTCTTAGGCATGAGCACCAAGTGGGTAGACAGCTTTTCTGCTCTTTGAGTTCTATGCTATCATGTCTCTTCTAGTGCATAGTTTTAAATTTTTCAGTTAAACTAGACAAAACCCAGTATATTCTACAACAGCATTTTTTTTTTTGAAAGAAGCAATCATTTTTCAACATGGCAAATGCTTAGCTTAGCTTTCTAACGCAACTTCTATATGTGGCTTGTTTTCAAGTTCTTTTTTTTTTTTTTTTTTTTTTTTGGTTTTTTGAGACAGGGTTTCTCAGTGGCTTTGGAGGCTGCCCTGGAACTAGCTCTGTAAACCAGGCTGGTCTCGACCTCACAGAGATCTGCCTGCCTCTGCTTCCCTAGTATTGGGATTAAAGGCTTGCGCCATCAATGCCTGGCTGTTTTCAAGTTCTTCTTCTTTTTTTTTTAAGATTTTATTTATTTATTATGTATACAACAGTCTGCTTCCATGTATGTCTGCACACCAGAAGAGGGCATCAGTTCTCGTAATGGATGGCTGTGAGCCACCATGTGGTTGCTGTGAATTGAACTCAGGACCTCAGGAAGAGCAGTCAGTGTTCTTAACCTCTGAGCCATCTCTGCAGCCCTGTTTTCAAGTTCTTATAGCACCTTCCAGTGGGGGCTCTCAGGGCCCAATACCTTCTCTGGTAGAGCCCGTTTTCTTTCTTTCTTCCTTCCTTCCTTCCTTTCTTCCTTCCTTCCTTTCTTCCTTTCTTCTTCCTTTTTCTATTATGGTCTATTATATAACGTAGCCCAGGCTATCCTTGAACTCATAGAAGTCCTGTAGGCTCAGTGCTGAGATTACAGGTGTGAGTCACTGTGACAACCATCATTTTTCATTTTGAGACATGGTCTCTCTCTATCACCCAGACTAGCTTTGAACTTACTTTCTAGCACAGTCTGGCTCCCAAGTGGTTACTCAGAATACTCTTGCCTCAGCCTCCCAAATGTTGGGATTGTAGATGCATGCTAGTAGGAACTAGAAAACATAGTCAAGTATTTCCCTAAATAGAAAATGAAACTAAAGCTGGGCAGTGGTGGTGTATGCCTTTAATCCCAGCACTCTGGAGGCAGAGGTAGGTGGATGTCTGTGAGTTCAAGGCCAGCCTTGTCTATAAAGCCAGTTCCAGGACAGTCAGGGCTACACAGAGAAACCCTGTGTTGGGGAGGGAGAGGGTAGGGAGGAAGAGAGGGAGGAAGAGAGAGAGAAAGAGAGAATATTACTAACTTTTCTATCTTTTTAAAACACACCTCGTTATCTTCTCTTCCAGGAATCTGTTCTGAATTACCGTTTAGACCCCCTCGGCATAGTTGATGGCTTTACTGCCGAGGTAGGAGCCAGTGGTACTTTCTGCCCCACACACTTAACTCTGCCGGTGGAAGTGTCATTCTACAGTGTTTCGGATGATAATGCTCCCTCGCCTTACATGGCAAGTACTTTTTTAATTGTCCTTTTCTTCAAGAATCAGCTAACCCAGTAATTCACACCTTTGCTTCAGTCCTGTATTTGAAAGTGTGAAGCAATTCCTAAGAGAAAGCTAGAAACCCAACACAGATCATTAAGCCAAAATACTGCTCCACGACCTTTTTCTCAGCTGACTCAAATCACAGGAGACCTGTTTTGCATTTAAAAATGGTGCTGAAATTTTACTCATTTCTACATGATTTACTGATGACTGACACAGTCAGTCCAGCTTGCTAAGTTCACACAAATGCCCCAATGCTTACTATGTACTCTAATTCCAGGTGGCTGCCTTCTCACGTGGTTCTTATCTCAGTCAGACTTAGTAAGATCTGGGGACCTGTGGCTATCTGAGGCCCCTTCACCCCACCTTCTGTCTGGTTTATCTTTGGCCCAATCTTTTTTGATCCTGGAGTTCTACAGAGAGTGAGCTATTTTTGCTCACATTAGTGTCTTAGAGAAGAGGAAGAGAGCTTCTGGGAGCCTGAGGTCTTGTAAATTTACCTTTCCCATTTTCTACTTCAGTGGATTCTGGGTAAAATAAGTGTTACCCTGCAGAAGTACTTCTGAACACTGGAGTGTATATAAACGCTTCTTCAAGGAGAAGTTTGTAGTGATGGTGTAAAGTGAAGAGTCACACTAAGTCTCCCTAAGAGAAGCAGAAATTCACATAGACCTAGAACTCTGCACCGCTGACTTAGCACCTGCCCAATGGCTTCCTCTCTCCTGCCTTCAGGGCTTTGAAGAACATTAGTGACAATGTCTTTTGTTAAGCAAATAAAAGCTATGAAAAGGAATTTCTGCATACCTGAGAAGAGGAAATGCTGTACTTTTTAGGAACCTATATATGCACACCTTATAGTTGACCCAGTTTGTCAAGGAGGCTAGTTTAGGTTTACTGCATTTTTAGGGTGAAATTTTGGTCAAGATCCTGGCTAGTGTTTTATACTTTGACAGAAAATAATGGTCTGGGTGGGAAAGAAATCAGTGTTTCAAAATACATACAAACAGAAGACTTTGAATAATTACTGGAAAACTGGAAAAGGGATAAGTCAACCTACTGAATTAAATTGGCTCATCCTTTTAAGTATGCCTGCTTTCGTATCTCAGTAGGTTTGAGGCCAGGATGGGCTATGTAGTAAGTTCCAGAAGAGCTTTGGCTACAGAGGAGAACCTTGTCTTAAAAACCTAAAACAACTAAAAACCAATGCCTGCCCAGCTTTTCTGTGGCAGTGATCTTACACAACTATCTACCATATTCCCTTGTCTGTTACTTCGAGGTATGGGTTCCTTTCACTAGTGGTTCACTCCAAACCTTCCACCACAAACCTTTCCAAAATTTTGTTATTTCTATTTGGATAGTTTGGTCTTCTTTCAAAGAACTGATCATGTTTTGTTAGACAGGACTAATTATGTTAGATAGTCCAAATCCCAGACCATCATAAGTAATGCACCTTTACGTTACTCTAATCATTGTGTGACCTTTCCTCATACATTGAATGGTCCCCCAGAGGTAACATGTTAGGACACAACAGTCTTTGTGGTGGGATTTTCTGTCAAACAATTCTTTAAAAATTAATTCTTCATGTTGGAGTCAGCCGTAAGAATGTTCTCCAGGAACTACACCACAACACTCAGCTGTTCAGAAACTGTGTCCAAGAAACTATCTGTCACAGCGGTGAAGTCAGGCTAGGCCTTGTGTTATGGACTCATGACTGGCCAGGTGCATCTTCCTCCTGTTAGTAATTGATCAAGTCAAGGACTGCTGCTCTTAGTTTTCCATCTGCCGTTCCATCTTAGTTTTTGTTGTTGTTTGTTTTGTTTTTTGACATGGGGTCCATGTTGGCTAGTCTGACCTCAAAGTCTATGTAGTTGAGGCTGGCTTTGAACTCCTGGTCTTCCTGCCTCTACATCCCAAGTGCTGGGGTTACTTATGTGTCATCACACCCAGCAATTCATATTTTTAATTACACAATAATTCGAGGGTGTGTGTGTGTGTGTGTGTGTGTTAGGAATCTGTCAAATTTATATCATCTTAACCTTACTGGTAAAAAATGCCAGAGGAGATTGTTTCTTTATATTAAATATGGTAGCTTTTCTTAAGTGAAAATATTAATGACCTGTCCTATGAAATAAATCAAGTAATATTAATCAAATCCTTGTATTTTTATGTAATTCCTAACTGTCCAGTGCTTCTGCTGGTTTTATATCCTTAGACATTGTTATTTGGAGGCTAGAGTGAAGGCTTAACAGTTAAGAACACTGGCTGCTCTTCCAGAAGACCCAAGTTTGGTTCCCAGCACCCACCTTAGGCAGCTCACAACTATCCCTGATGCTAGTTCCAGAGGATCCAACACCCTCTTTTGGCCTCCAAGGGTACTGTACTCATATGCACCCACCCACATAAATACACGGAATTAAAAAGAAGAAAAAAAATGGTTGTATTGGAGTGCTGCACTAAACTTAAAAAACCTTTAAAAAATCTTTGATCACTGTCAGCCTAATCACATGATAGTTATGTTCTAGAAACTATCAGAATTGTGTAAAAGAAGGAAATACAGTGACAGTAGTAGTTCCCACTGTCCTGGCTTTCTCCTTCTTGTGTTGGAAGGTTGTGAAGGAGGACAGTAACTCCTGTCACTACCAGTGTGCTTATAAAAGTAGCTGTCATTTTGATATGCTTTACTAGAACTAGAAAGAAGAGTGTCTTTTTCATGTAACTGTCCACACTCTTGTTCCTGAAAATTGGTGAGCATATGCCTCAATGAGTGCTGAGTACACTGGGAGGAAATACTGTTGTATTATGGAGGCCTAAATCTAATGCCCGTGCTCTCCATGTGGAGTTAGGATCATATGTCAGAAAATGGCTTTCTCTCCACCTTGGTTCACTCCTTTTTACTCCCAACCCAGGTCTAGTTTCCAAACCCAACAAAGATGTCACCTAGCGTAACAGTCCTGTGTTATATTTACCTTATGATTTCTAGTTACAATATAGTATAGAATCATTAACTGTGTAGAGCACACACTTATTCTACTTGCCTGCCTTAACTACTGGAAGGAAAAGAATCACCCCAGAAAGTAGACAGGGTCACCTGTGGCCATAATGGTCACTCTGATTATTGAGAAGCTTTTGCTAAGCTGTGAACTTACTTTCTTTACATTTATTGCTTTCTTCCCTGTTGTTTGGACTTTGCAGAAAAACTGCCTATGCTTATGGTTCAGGTTTTCTTAAACTTGGTTTACAAATGATATCATCAGGAAAGTCCTGTAGAAAGGCAGGTTTGGTTTGCCTGGAGAGTGGCCAGGCAAACTGCTTTTCTAGCAAAGTCACCGTGTGTGCTGCTGCTCTGAGCATCAGACTAAGTGGAGGACCTCATTGTCTCCTTTTAGATGCACCTAGTGAATGACTGTGATTCACCTTTCACCTCTCTGCAGATCTTAGATCTCAGACATTCAGGCTCTGGTTTAGAGCCAGTTCAAAGTCTTAGATTCCTTAACAAGTAAACCGCTTAAAGGCATATACCCTGGGTATCCCAGCACTGGAGAGGCTAAGGAAAGGGGGTTTTCATCAGTTCCAGCCCAGTCTTGGCTATATAACAAGGCTTTGTGTAAACCAATAAGCAAACCAAAAGAAATAGAAATAAGTTGGACATGGTGTCGCACACAGTGTAATCTAGCATGTGGGAAGCAGAAGCAAGAGGATCTGGAGTTCAGGGCCAGCCTCTGCAGCATAGTATGTCTGAAACCAGCCTGGACTATGTGTGACCCTGTGTCAAAAAAAAAATGGAGAAATATACACATTCAAAGCACCTTAACAAAGATCCATATTAAGCCACAGCATGATGCAGCGACTTCTGAAGTAGCATTTCCTCTCAGAAAAGGGAGTTATATGGCTTTTGCACAGAGCAAGCAGCCTGGTGTTGCTGGTAGACCTTCATTTTTCACCTTTGCTTTAAACACCTCTTCTGGAAATTCTCAACTGTTGTCTTAGTTTTTTTCTTTTCTCTGTCATTAGAAACTCATATGTGTAAGGTGACTCCCTGGCTGAAGAATTCCTCCTTTAATTGTGGTCCAAAATAATACTTTGTATACTCATTATTTTTCCATACTCCAAGACCAATCATTTCTTTGCTTCTTCATTCCCCCTCTCCTCTTAGATAATTGAACAAAGCCTGTAGCCTGGCTTGATTTCCTTATAGCCTGGAAACCTGACCCTCAGTCTGTGTCTCAGTGGCAATTCCCAGCAGTGTTGCCTTACGTAATGCTGTATGCTACTTGTTGCAACATGTCCAGAAAGAGCAGCAGTGAATAGTTTCTTTAGAAAGGGTAGCCTCACTGTTCATACTCACAGACTGTGCAATTTGAATGTTTTCCCATAGAAATATGTCACTGAAATTGTAATAACATGTTGTGCTCTTAATTTCACCTTTTATATACACATGCACTTAATTTGTCTTCTTTTGTTTCAAGGGTGTGATTACTTTAGAGTCCCTTGGTAAAAGGGGTTATCGAGTACCTCCTTCAGGAACGATACAAGTGGTATGTGTTTTATAGCCTACAATTGCAATAATCATTCTCTCACACACATATAGAACTTAGCCCTTTCTCCTGCTACTGCTGCTGCAACAACTTTGGTAAGTAACAGTGGGCTGCAGCTCTGTTTGGAGTTGCCATGCTCTGCCCCAGGAATGACCATTTTGGGGACCTCCATTAAAGGAAAAGATTAATAAGCTAATAGAGGTGAATGCTTTAGACAAATAATATGGACCATTTACATGACTTAAACTGACCTGTTTTCATTATAATTATATCCTGACCAGTGCCTTCTATTAAATATTAAGGCATATTGAGATTGACCTACTATTTTGAGGAGATCCCAAAATATTAATATTCTTTGATAGGAAACTTTGAGAAACGAGGTATTATTACTAGTGTAATGATTTCTAAAACTGACCCAGTGCAATCTGATGGGGCCAGAGCAGAGAAGGTGACATTCCTTCATCTGTATGTTCATCTAATTTGGGTTCAGGATACCCCTTATAACCAGGGCAGACCTGATCTATGTTATCTTTCTGTCTGACCCAGGATAACACTTCAGGTCCTCAGTCTGCTCCAGATTTTGCAGACTGGAAGAGTCTGGCTGAGGCTGGCTGCTTGCACTCAGCCTCTGTTCTAGCCCAACGGGCTCCCTGAGCCCTGTGACCTCAGGGAGTCAGCACTTTGTCAGTCTGGTCACACCTTATCTCCTCTGTCTCAGTGTTATGTGGAGCCTGTGCATTTATTTATCTGGCATCTCACAGGGGTGGGACAGTAGTGAGCAATATGCATGTGTACCACATATTAAGATGTGATCTCTCTATCCCAGACACTTTTCAAAGGTAAAGCGGGAAAGCTTCTGTTATCTAGCCCCGGACTGTGGAACCCATGAGGGAGTGTGGATCACTGGAGAGCTAGCTGGGAGCTTCCCTAGTAATAAGACATTAACTCAGAAAGAGAAGTCCACCTCTGAGTGGTCCATTTTAAGCAGGATTTTATTTCTTACATGGTTTGAAATCCTGGGTCTGCTTGTGCTTGTTGAATGTATCAGCCTTGATCTTAGCACGTGCTAGGTTGTAAACTTGGATCATAATGTTGATATATTTCTCATTTTGATTCAGTGAGTGATGTCCAGTCCCTGGGATGAGCTTCTGAAAGCATGGCACCAAGTTACCGATTGATGTGTTGGTAATTTGGTTAAAGTCAGTTCAGCAGCTTGGGTTTTTATTTTAAATTGTGTATTTAAAAATCATTCATAGCCAAGAACAATTGAACTACTTCAGTCTTCTCTGAGAATACATATTTTGATCTATAATGATACCAATGATTTGTAAAGCCTGATCATTTGTGAATGATTCTGAGTGAGAAAACATAGTGTTGTTATAGACTTTGGATCTAATGAAAATGAGCTTTTATTTCCTGACCCTGAAACATTTTCAATAGAAAAGTCTCCCCTTGAACATTTATAGCAGTTTTACAGTAAGTAGTTTAAAACAGCCACTTTAAAATTCTAGCTTTACTGAACTTGTAGTTTTATTTTTAAAATTCTAATCCATTAAAATAATAAGAAAAATTAAAATCTGCCTTGAGAATTTGTGGTTGATATAACCAGTGGAGCTAATATTTGAAATGGTAGAACCTAGAATATTCTAGCACAAAATACACGATAAAGAGTGTATTATATGTAAATTCACAGAACAGTTTCTGAAAATCTGAACAATGAGAAAAATGTATGTGATGTTTTATTAATATGAAATTTATGACTAAAGATTTTGACTTATTACAGGACTTTATCTTATTGTGACATAAGAAATAAAGTTGAATCTTTGGTCTTTGAAAGAATTTTGAGTATTTCTTTGTGAACTTTTGAAATGTTAATGTTAGCCTCTGAAATGGAACTTATCCAGTGGGATTAAATTACTAAACAGCCTGTTTAATTACTGGCACGGTGTTCTGAGTCATATAAAAGAATCATCATTGTGAAGAGTAACCCCTCTGTTGTTTCTTCAGACCTTATTCAATCCTAATAAGACTGTGGTGAAGATGTTTGTTGTGATGTATGACCTACGAGGTATGCCAGCCAATCATCAGACATTCCTGCGCCAGAGGACGTTCTCTGTTCCTGTTAAACAAGAAATGAAGAGAAGTATTAATAAAGAGAACGTCCAGCACACAGCACAGTTATTACGCTACCTCATACATCTGAGGTAATGTGTCAAATTAATAGGAAAATGCCTCACGTCAGGACAATTTAACATGATTCCACTTGTTATGTAAGGGAACTTTTTGACTGACTGGACCAGTATCGTGTACTCTGCTCATGGGGCCTCTTGACAACATGCCAATGTGGAGAATGTATGGCCTTTGTTCTTACCACCCCTGCTGCTTATTGAAATCAGGGGCTCACACTTGTAACTGTTAAATGGGAAATACTAAGTCAGAATGAAGCCAGATATTTGAGGCATTATGTTTTTAAACCAGTGATGTTGATAGAAACTTAATCTGAGCCCTCAGCCTAGTTTGCATTTAGCAGCAGGCATCTAGGAAAGTGACAAAGCTGGCTATGGAGCGTTTTACCTGTAATCCAGAATCTGGGTGGTAGAGGCATCAGGATACTTTACGTCTTCTAAATCAGCAATATACTTTACACTCAGCACAGTCAATTTGAAGCCGTCCCATTTCAGGTGACTGTTAGCCACGTGTCGCTAGTGGCTATATTGGACAGAGGAGTTCTGAAATTTGACTCAGTCACTCCCTGACCGTTTCCTTCAGGGCATGCTTCTAGACATCTGGGAGGTAACAGTGCTGGACACATTGCAGAGGTGCCTTACCCTCCAAGTTCCTGTTTAACTTGGGGCTCTAGGTTGTGTAACAGCTTTGTTGTTTGTTGTCTTTCTGGTCCATTTTGCCAACACCCCTAAATTCTGTTTTAATCCCCCCAATCCCCGTGTAGCCCTGAGCTACATGGAGCAAATCAAAACTAAGAGTCATCAGCCTGTTCCTGTAACTATAGAACATTCTCAACCACATCAGTGATTGTCTCTCTAATGTAAGGAGCCCTGTGGGTCCCAGCTGTCCTTCAGTGTGTAACCACCATGCTGCAACTTGGGTAGGGAGTGAGCTAGACATGTAGGCTCCATACCTGAAGACGTGGCCAACTGTTCCTCTTAGAACACTGCTTGGTGGGCTTCTCCACCTGTTGTTCTGTACCCAAAAGGCAATGTGTTATACTCAGCCCTGGCAATGCCTGACAAGAGCATCACGCTACCTAAACTATGAGTATGAAAATCTGTCTACAAAACACAAACTTGGAAAACGTTTTCAAAAGAAGAAACATGGGCCAGAGAGTTATAACCCATGTGGTACAAGAACCAACTCCAACAAGTTGTCCTCTGAACTTTACTTGCATGGTGGCAAGTACCTCCTTCCTCACACACAGATTTTTTTTTTTTAATGTAAAGAACTTTAAGTACATATAAATGTTTCTAGATATAGTTAAACTAAGCACTTGGGGAGACAGAGGCAGGAGGACTGACTGCTGTGAGTTCAAGGTCATCCTAGACTATCTAGTGAATGCCATGTAAGCCTGGATTACAAAGTGATATCCTGGTGCAAGAAACTTAAAAAACAAACAAATGATAAGATATGTGTAATGAAATAGGAAAAAGTAAAAGGAGACGTGTAATGAAGTAACATACTATAGCTATTCTGAGTGGTGGGCAGTGCTGCTCACTGAGAGAGTCTGCCTAGTTTGAGGAAGGCCCAGGATTTGATTTTCAGTGCTACAAAAGTAAATAATAATAATTACAGTAGTAACAAGCCAAGTCTGGTGATGTAGGCAGTGGTTTTAGCAGTTTGGGGGGCTGAGGAGGGAGGATCCCACATTCAGCTCTGCCTGGGCTACAGTCAAGACCTATCAAGACCAGCCTTGGCAGCGTAGTGAGACCTTGCCTCAGAATCAAAAGAAAAAGAGGGCTGAAGATCCAGCTTATTGGTAGAGTACTTTCCTGGTACATATAAGGCTCAGGGTTCATCCCCAAGTAACCCAAAATCAGTCAGTTAAGCTCCCAGCCCAGTAGGAAAGACTCAGTTCTCTGATTCAGCTTCCATTTCAGCATTCTCTTGTTGTCTTCTGTTTGATTGTTTGGTAGTATTTGTTTATGGCATTGGCGATCAAACCTACAGCCTGGTACGTGTCGCTAAGTTGCATTGCTGGCCTCTTGAGGTTTAACAGCTTTAGCATGTGTAACAACATTCACCCAAAATCAGCGACTTCCCCTTTCAGTCTTCACATAATACTCAGAAGTTCTACAAAGCCTAACAGGAAAAATGGCATCTTCCCCAAAACTTCTCAAGGTGAAAACCTAAGGGGGGAGAAGTTAGCCAGCCAGTGAGGTCCACCCTGATATGTCCTCACACCATGCCTTTCCATTGGTTTTAGAGTGAAGTCCACAAACACAGACCATTTCTGCTATGCTAAGCAAACTAGGAGAAATTAGCACTGCATGGTATCCCCTGGGGGAAGGTTAGTGGGAGACAGAAACAGCTCCATGCCAACTTTTGATAGCCCCTTTTCATTTCACCACTAACTTTGTCATTACTTCTAGTGGCGTTTAGGTTTGATGGTTTAATTTAACCAACTGCTAAGAATAGCAGTGATTGTCCCAGAACCTGAAGCTTGCCTGGCATAGTGCATATGTAATACTAGCAGCACTAAGGGAGCTAAGGCAGGAAGATTACTAAAAGTTCAAGGCCAGCCTTTATTATATAGTGAGTTCCAGGGCAGCCTGAGTGTAGTGTGAGACCCAGTATCAAAACAAAAACTACAGACTGGGGGTTTAGAGTCATTTCAAAGAGGGAACCTCAACTGAGAAAATGCCTCCACCATCTTGGCCTGTGGACAAGCCTATGATGCATTTCCTGATAGATAGATGGAAATTCATGTGGGAGGGCCCAGCTCATTGTGGGAAGTGCTAACCCTGGGCTGATGTTCTGGGGACTATAAGGAAGCAGGAGGAGCAAGCCAGTAAGGAGTGCTCCCCCATGGCCTCTGCTTCAGTTTCTGCCTCTATGTCCCTACCCTGCCTTCCCTGGATGATAGTCTACAAGTTGTAAGATGAAGTAAACCCTTTTCCTCCCCAAGTTGTTTGTGGTCATGGAGTTTTATTCACAGCATCAGAAACCCTAACTAAGCTACTAGACTAGCCATTCAGTGAGCTCTGGGGTCAGTGACAGATAAGTCCTTGCCTCATAAATGAAGTGGAGAACTACTGAGCAAGAGACCAGTATCAACTTTGACCTTCACATTCACACACACACACACACACACACACACAAACCCACCCGCCCAATGGGAATGTTCATATATGCACAAATACTTGAATCTTGTCAGTTTTCTTTTGTATTGCTTTGAAACACAGTTGCATATTATAATCCAGACTGGTTTGTAACTCAAATATGTAGTCCATGATGGCCTCAAACATAGCAGTCCTCTTGTCTCAGCCTACTGAGTGGTGGATTACAGGTATAAGCAATCATATCCAGAGAAAACTTTTAATAATCATCAGGTATGGAATCCATTTTAATCTACCCTAATGAATGTGTCTGTGTGTCTAGAATATGCCTGACCACAAAGCCCAGGGCATAATCATATAATTGGCTGGTGTCGGTGGAAATGTGATACCTTAGATGAGGAAAGTGCCTGTGCATCAGAGAGGAGCCTTGAAGTTGAAACCCAGACTCCCAGAAGAAAGCAGCCTTGGCCCCATTACAGAACAGGAGTGCAGTTTTGGGAATGATGAATCAGGAGTGTGGTTTTGACAGTTCACACCCTAAATAAGGAAGGAAAGAGTTAATCTAGTAGCACAGCAAGACTGACTCTCCCTGCTTTCACATTAATGATTAGGTTTACTTGTTTTAAAGACTCATTCCCTAACATTGTTATTGTCGCTTTCTTTGTATTTACTTAGGTTCCAGAGTTCTAAATCTGGAAAGATCTACCTCCATAGAGATGTACGGCTCCTGTTCTCTAGAAAGTCCATGGAGGTTGATAGCGGCGCTGCGTATGAACTCAAATCTTACACTGAATCGCCAACAAATCCTCAGTTTTCACCAAGATGTTGATGGGGGTGGGAGGGGCAATTTAAGGTTATTTGCTCAGTGCCCAGGCTTGAACGTAAGCATTCACAGAATGGAGTTCATCAAATCAGAGCCAGGGGAGTGGCCCTCCCCTGCTGTCCTGGACCAGACTTTATTAATGGACCCCTGAAAATGAGATCCATGACTCCAAGTGGACTGGAAGCAGCCGTGTCTTCACCCTTTTCATACTGTTGAAACCACTTCATTGGACAGTTGCAATAGCAAAATCCCCAGTTAGATTAGTGTTTACACATTTTATTTCTGTTATTTAATATTTAATGTTTTCCTTAATACTCAAGTGATGTTTGTCTCTAGTGTTCTAATGTAGCACAATCCTCTGTAAAATCATACTATGTATTTTTGACATTAATGTTGAAATCTGAAATATATGCACAAGTCTTTAATTCTGTGTGGTGTGTTTTAAGTGCTATTCATTTAAGCTACTGAAGATGAGAATGGAATGTTGGGCTTCTTTAAGATTAATGCACTATGCAAGCATGTATGCTTTTTATATCTCTCCAGGTTAGTTTTTATAACACTTACCCTGGGGCTGTCCCTGGAGTAATATGCTGTCCTTGGTGCAGTCAGACAAAGCTGCTCTGTTCCCCTGGCAAGCTCTCAGCCTCACGCCTGTTCTCATTCCTCCTTAGGTCCTCCCCCCAAAATGTTCTATTTTTCCTGAATCACTACTGTAGAGGTTTTACTTTAAATTGCTGTCCCATGCTAGATGATTTTCTCACACTTTTAAAAAGAATATGTACTTTGAAAACAAATTAATATTTATATTGTAAATATATGCAAAAAACTAAAACGTGTGTATTTGGCTTTTATTCTCAGATGAGACATTTACATGACTGTTGGATTAGCCATCAGTTTCCATCCTACCAAGGAGAGAAGCATTTGGTAACTGGAAAGGCTATCAAGCAAGGGAGCTTGGCTGGATGTATCAGAAGCCTCCTTGTGTCATGCTTGGATTGGACACGGCCCTCTTAAAATTGGTGCTGGAGCGATGGGCAGCACACCAGACAACAGGATAGGAATATGTGGAGTGCAGATCAGGATTGAGGCACACTCCTGGGCCTGCAAAGGCTGGGGGATTGCTTCAAGTTTGAAGTCATACATACTAAGTCTACATAGTAAGCGCCAGGACTACATAGGCCGTGTGTGTGTGTGTGTGTGTGTGTGTGTGTGTGTGTTGATATTTGTAGGAGAGAGAGAGAGAGAGAGAGAGAGAGAGAGAGAGAGAGAGGGAGGGAGGAGATGAACTGTAGATCAGTCATGGAGTGCTTGTCTGTCTGATATGCATAAAGCCCTGGGTTCAACCCATAGCACAGTGTGAACCAGGCCTGGTGGTACACAGATAATCCCAACACAAGGGAGCCAGAAGCAGTAGAATCAGGAGTTCAAAGTTATTCCTGATTCATAGTGAGTTTGAGACCAACATGAGCTACATGTATGTTTAAAAAATAAAAGGGAAGGCAGGAGGGAAGAAAAGGAAATTCTGGTCTTCTGATTTTTTATATGCTTGCTAAATCCCAAATACTATGTTCACTTTCACATCAGATCCACCAGAGGGAGTTTGGTTAGCATCAGCTCTTAGGCTGTGTGTCAAGAGTGTTTGGGTGTTCTTAATCTGATAGCTAATTCTTTTTTGTTGTTGTTGTTTGTTTGTTTGTTTCTTCGAGACAGGGTTTCTCTGTGGCTTTGGAGGCTGTCCTGGAACTAGCTCTTGTAGACCAAGCTGGTCTCAAATTCAGAGATCCTCCTGCCTCTGCCTCCTGAGTGCTGGAATCAAAGGCATGTGTCACCACTGCCTGGCTGATAGCTAATTCTTTAAACATTCGGTTCCTTGCACACATTAAATGGTCTGTGGCATTTAGCCTTATATGATTAGCTGTCACTGTGTCAGATAGCACAGATGTAGAATACTCACATCACCACAGAAAGTGCTATGGAACAGTCCTATTCCTGATTGATGGCAGTTTGGGCTACATGGGTAGAAAAGGGTAAAACTGGAGGAGAAAATGGGATTTGGGGTAAGATGCTTTAGTCAAGTTGTCAGGCTCATGGGCAAGTGCCTTACATACTAAGACATCCCACTGGCCCCCAAATTCTCTCTTTGAGAGGAGGGTAAAGCCAACTGTGATACAGGCCCATAATCCCAACATTTGGGAGACTGAGGCAGATGAATTATGAATTAGAGTCCAATATAGGCTACACAATGAGTCTGCCTCAAGACAAAAATAAATAAAATAAATAAATAAATAAATAAATAAATAAATAAATAATGAAGAGCCAAGGGCCAGGTTAAAAGGCATGCATAGTGGCTCATGAAATCCAGCATTACAAAGCCTGAAGCAGGAGGGCCCTGAGTTCCAGTGTGTAGCTCCATAGCAAGTTGGAGGCTAGCCTGGGTTACATAGACCCTTTGTCAAAAATCAACTCAGAGGTAGATACATTCTGAAGGTTGAACCCAGGAAATTCATGAGTACAAAATCAACATGAACCATAGAGTGAGACCACTCATCTCAACAAAGAACAGGACAGAGTCAGGAATAGTGGCTCACACCTGTGATAGTGCAGTGACATGCACAGAAACCATAGAGAGTAAAAAATGTATCAGGAAACACAATGCTGGGACCAGAGTGGCCCAAATTCCTAAATACCAAAGTCTCCCAAGTAAAGATTTCAACCATGTGTAGCTATGTCTATGCATGCAAATTCCTTGAGTTGTCTTTCATGGTTTTCATAACTTGTAGATGCTACTATCCAGGTGGAGAGAAAAAGGATTTTTCTCTTATCAGTTTTGGTCCAAACTAAAAAGAGAAAAGCACGACCAACAAAAACAACCATATTTCCTTTAAACACTGCCATTTCTTGGTTCTCCATAGACCGAAGTTTCTGTCCTGCCCCATCCCGCTGCTATTTAGTCCAAAATAAACACGCAGAGGCTTATATTAATTATAAACTGTTTGACTGATGGCTCAGGATTCTTATTGGCCAGCTCTCTCTTAAATATTAACCCATTGCTAGTAACGTATGTATCACCACATGGTCTTGGCTTACGGGAGAATGTTCACACTTCCTACCTTCCCGGTAGCTACTCTTGCTTGTGTTCCTCCTCTCAGAATTCTCCTAGTCTGGTAGCCCCACCTATACTTCCTTCCTGGCTACATCTTTCCTGTCCATTGGCCAAAGCAGCTTTATTCATCAGCTGATAAGAGAAACATATTCACAGCATACAGAAGGACATCCCTCATCAGTTTTCTCTTTGTTTCTTGGTAAAGAGGCAAACAGCTGACTTGAGATTCTGGTTACAGCAGGAATCAGTCAGAGGAGGGAGAATCATTTAATTTGAGGCCAGACTGAGCTTTGCAGCAAATTTGAGGCCAGCCTGTTTGGCTGCATAGTAAACCCTTGTGTTTAAAACAAAAAGTGGAGGAGGAGTGCCCAGTATCTAGAGGTCAGAAGGAGATCATTTTGAGGGATGTTACATTGGGGATCAATGTGCAGTTTTAAAGATTAAAGTACATGAGTAATGATGGTGCAGAATCGTGTTCTAACAGGCTCTGGGAATTAAGATTTGTCAAAAGTTGCTTTTCTTTCTCAGCTCCAGCTTCCAGAATATAAACACACTGGGAGTGAAAATGGCCTGCCGGCAAACCCTGACCCTTCTAGCTCCTAGCTCTGGTATCTTGGGTACAGAGCTAAATCTGCATGCGCATATTTCCTGGCTTCCATTTCATCTTTTCTGTGTTGGAACACTGATATGGGTAAGACAAAAACAGATGAAGACTTTTACTTCTTTTTTTAAAGAAATATTTTATTTAATTAAAAATTTTCATTTGTTTTACCTCCTGATTGCAGTTTCCCTTCCCTCCTCTCCTTCTGTTCCCCATGACCCCCTCCTACTCCCATCCTCTCTCTACTCCTCCTCATCTCCATTCAAAAAGGGGCAGACCTCTCATGGGCATCACCAAAGCATGGCACTTCAAGCTGAGGCAGGACCAAGCTCCTCCCCATTCCCCCAGGCTGGCCTTGAACTCACAGAGATCTGCCTGCCTTTTCACATCTCTCTCTCTCTCTCTCTTTTTTAAGATTTTATTTATTATGTATACAGTCTTCTGCCTGTACACCACTAGAGGGCACCAGATCTCATTCAAAGTGTTTGTGAGCCACCATGTGGTTTCAGGAATTGAACTCAGGACCTCTGGAAGAACAGTCAATACTCTTAACCGCTGAGCCATCTCTCCAGCCCCCCCCCCCCCAATCTTAATCCAAAATTTACTCAGGTTTACAAGTGTGTGTGTGTGTGTGTGTGTGTGCATGTGAACTGTATTTGATTAATAAAAAACAGTAGTTAGATGCGTTCATTAGCCTGACTAATACATTTTCCCATTCGATCTATAGCTCTACTCAAATGAAGAGCCCTGAGAGAGGCTTGAGCAAGAGGTTTGCTGTGAGTTCCAAGCCAGCTTGGGCTACAGTGAGACCCTATCTCAAACAAACATAGCCAGGTGCAGCACATGTAGGCAGGCAGATTTCTAGGACAACTAGGAATACATAGACGACTGTCTCACAAAAAATTGGAATGGGGAGCAAATGTCAGTAGGTTACTTTGTCAGTATTAACAAATACAGAGTTGTTTTCATTGTTCTTTTTGCAGTTTTGGTTTTGGAGATGCCTTCATGTCGTGTAGACTGGATTTGAACTCACACATAGCTGAGATTGGCCTTGAAACTGATGATGTTCATCCTCTCTCCACTTGCCAAGTTCTGGGATCCTAGCTGTGCACCACACACAGATGATTTGTGAGCAAACTGAACTATTCTCCAGGGATACCTTTGTCCAAGAGTTAGCTCTTAAGCCCTTTTATCTTAAACAGGAACTTGGTTAAGTGGCCAACCTTTCCTTCCTTCTCCAACAGGAACTTGCTATTAGGACTCCTTTTGTTTTTCAAATTTAAGTCTCACTTAAGTCTTCCCTTCTGAGATTTCATACCTTGTTGAGGCTTTGAATTTCTATGGCTTTTGTTGCTGTTGTTGTCATCTTATTTTCTTTTATTTTTGAGACAGAGCCTCACGTAGCTCAGGCTAGTCTCAAGTTCAAGCTGAGGATGACTTTGAACTCCTTGACCCTTCTGCCTCTACCTCCCTGGCTAGGACTACAGACATACACAATCACGATGGTTGTATGTGGAGTCAAACCCATTCCAGGCAAATGACTCCCCTACTCCTGAGCTACTCTCTCTCTCTCTCTCTCTCTCTCTCTCTCTCTCTCTCTGTGTGTGTGTGTGTGTGTGTGTGTGTGTGTGTGTGTGTGTGTGTGTGTGTGTGTGTGTGTGTGTGTGATTCTCGTGCTGGAAAGATTGAATGCAGAAATTTGCACATGCTAAGCAAACCCTCTACC